GTTGAATCGGTAAATGCTGTTTTGCTTTTTAGTGCCCATTTTTAGGGTTCCGTATCGAAATGGTACAAATGTAATCTTATCACAATACTATGTCTGAGCAACTATTAATATAGACAATTCAAAACCATTTCATAGAACAACAAAAAAAATCAAATTAATGATTAGTCCCATTCATGATCTGTCCTATTAATATATTATAAATAAATATTATTGATTTAAAATTTAGAATAGTACTTGATATTGTTGGCTTATATATATTTTATTTTGTTTGCTAGGCGACCCAAAACGGAAGTTAAGAATTGAAAAATTATATGAAAGGACTTCATTTGTAACTTTTAAAACTGATTTGTATTCATTTTTATTTTGCAGTTTCTGACTGAAAATATGACAAATAATACCATCCCCCCGATTTATCTCCGATGCTTTTAAAGAGTAAAGTCTGCAATAATTACAGTTTATGAAGTTATATGTGAATAATAATATCAATGACAACGTGTCTATTTCACATAAGAAACATAATTTTTTTACCTCAAACTAGCGATCCGTTCTGGCTTCGCACGGATAAATAAGTAGACAAACTTTAATTTTTTTTTCAATAAAATATAATTCATGTTATTCGCTGACAATGTAATCTTTTATAGGTCAAATAGTTTTTAAAAGTATATATTTAAAAAAAATATTTTATCTTATCTTTTACAAACAAAAAATCAAATTTTACAGATGGATACAATAAATAATTGTACAATATCATGTGTAATAATTTATTTTGATGTGTTGATAATTATAGGTAGCTACATAGATTCATTTTCCGGTTTCTTTTAAAGACAGCGCCGATTCTTAAAATAGTGCAGTGATTACTCTCTGTGTACTTGTTTAGTGGCCGTAGCGGGTGCCGGAATCTTTAATAATGTTCGTAGACAATTTGTTAAGTGAAATCGATTTGTCTCTTATTTTCCTGTATAATTTATATTAAGCACTACTCGTGTAATATATCACTCGGAAGAAAGTATAATTTCAAAATGTAGTAATCTTGTTTTCGGCTTGAGCGTCAGATGATAGTCATTAGTAATCGTTGATTTGTTTTTCTCGGTGGACTAGAAAGTATAAATGCTCATTATTTGTTTAAAAAAAATGTATGATAAACCCTGATTGTTTTAAAGTTACGTACCTCCAATGGCAAAAATGGAATCCTTACAGGATCACATTGTCATCCGTTCGTGCGTCTATCAAGACCCTTTTTTTTAGGAACGCGTGGAGGTGCCATATCAAAATTAATATCATATACTCAAGCCTACAATGTGAAAGCAGTGAAAGCAGTTCTTAAAGCAGTGAAAAAATTAAGCTTCATAATTGTCGCAATGAAAAGATACGGCCGTTTATGTTCCATTTATGTCGCATATTTTGTCATTCGCAAAGGGAATCAAAAGCTATAGGGTACTTTCCGTTGACCAAAAATTATGAAATTTAGCAAGAAGCAATGTTATGTAGCACAAGTAAAGGAAAAAATCTGAAAACTGTAAAATTTTAATTAGTTCACAAAAAAATAAACTTGATGATTTTGTACGGAACTCTCGTTGTGCGAGTTTGACTCGCACTTGACCAGCTTTTTACTTTATAGTAACGATTTTGAATTTTCTTCATCGTAATAATTACAGTATATGACTGATTATCTAATTATAAGAGATTTAATGCGAAATAAGGCATAGGCGATTGATATAGGGAACGTGACTATTTTCTTATTATAACAGATCTAATTATGCCCTGTAAAGTTAAGTGTGTATCACTCACGATGATGCTCTAATTAACTCCATGCTTACTTACCATTCTTCACTGATGTTTCAACTGATACCAATAACACAGTAGTCTACTGCAGTTCTTGTACGTATTAGTTATTATACTGATCGTTTTGTGTAATTTTGTTTTTAAAAGTAACAGTGAAAGGCAGATATTGTAAGAAGACTTAAGTATTTATTACATAATAAATAACATTAGAGTACCTAGTCGCAAAACGGGCAACGCAATCCTGAATAAAAGCAAAGTGATAGAATACGACATGCAGATATCTATTTCGTTGTTTTATTATACTCTAGTGTATCGTTATCTCCGTCTACTCTTCTCCGTTTTATCTTAGGATTTTTTCTCACTTCCATTACTGTCGCGTTGTGGTTTCTCCCAGAGGAATCATCTGGGAAATTCATTAATAAATATCGCAGACTATCCTGCGAGAGTTATTTATAAAGCGAAATGCAGAAGTCTACTTAGCGTCTAGTATAATATACGTTATATATATACAAATACACTAAAAGAATATATATATATATATATATATATACTTTTATTTTATTTTACTTTTTTTATTTTATTAACAAATCATAATAGCTAATATAATATACCTATAACTTAATAAATTATGCATTCTTTACTATTACTTACCCATCTTATCATCTTATAGTCAAGACCTTGTAGAAGCTGAGTTCTAGACTATAAGATGGGTAGAGTAATATAAATTTAATGACAGGAGCAAGTATGAACAAATATTGATTGCTAATTTTAAGCCGCGAATTCGTCTGTACGAGGGGGACGTACAGATTGACTTGAATAAAAAGAAATCTAGAAATTTTACGACGCCAGAGGGCGACACCCTTATAGTTAATAAATAAATAATACTTCAGAATGTAATATACAGCGCCATCTAGTATTTTTTATTACAAGCTGTGTTTGCGCTAAGATCTAGGATGGAGTGTGCTTACCCATAGGATACTTATTCACCATTGATCATAGGTATAATGAAATCCTATACTAAGCAGTATTAAAATTGTACTCGTATTATGTATATAAAAATAAAGAAGCTAGCTACCGAAGGTATTGATGCCAGTTGCCCTGCCTACTCCACCCGACGCAGTTGGCTCCAGTAAAGTGTGTGTGAAGGAGGAGGGGGGGGGGGAGGCGGAGGATTGTTGATAATTGATTGATTGAATGATTGTTGATTGATGAACTATCAGTTTTATTGCTAACCATATATCCTGCCAGGTCGGGGGGAAAGGGATTGTTAGTAATGCAGTCTAATTTCCCCATTACTCGCAATACATCCTATCAGGTCGACCTCCTAGCGGTTCTCCCTGGAAACTATCGTGATTAATTCTAGTGGAATTCGTCATAATGGGTTAACAGACTTACTTTCATCGTCACCTATCACCCCTCACTGGTGTCTCGCTAGCGTATACTGATAGCGCAGACGGGGATATCATTCCATTATTACCCATAAAAATATACAAAAAAATATCCTGCCAGGTCGACTTCCCCGTGGTTCCTTCTGAACCGTCGTGCTGTATTCATCACAATTAGCCAATTGACCTGCCTTTTCATCCTCATCTATCATCCCTCAGTGCCCCGCCAGTGTATACTGTTAACACAGGTGGCGTAACCATTTTATCATCATCCATTAAAAAAAGTCGCTCTCGATGATGAATGAGAATTGAGGAGATTTGCATAGGTGAATATTATTACTAGACTATAAACAGACATTACAAATAAAAAAATATATGGTTATGTTTTAATTATGTGAGTGCCCACTTTTTGAGTCACTTCAAATTATTTTATATTTATTAGGTATAAATGATAGATAATTCCAACAATTAAAATACCTTAGATATGGAAAAAATGATAAATCCTATGACCTTGACGTTTTGGCTGATTTGGTTAATACTAATCAAATTTAAATGAGCTCTTTTTATGAAATTGCGTCGACATTGTACGCCATCGCTTCTTCCCCTCTTTATTCCTTTCATAATCCCGTCTAGCTTCCCATATTTCATAACGTTCCCTTTATTGCTCACCGTCGCCCATATTAATGATATGTTGTTTTAAATTTACGAACGAAGCGAGTTGGTTAATAAAGGGAACTGTACGTTACAACTGGTAAATAAATGATGTCATTTGAGCATGTTTAAACATTTTTTAGTGATGTAATGGGATTGATTTTTTGCTTGGAGATTATTATTTTGAAATTTTATAGGGAAGGTGGTAATTCATACACTATTGTAAAAGTTAAAGATAAAAAAAATCGCCTTCAACAATAAGGCCATTGTTGCACAAATAAATACCAATTGACTATATCAGAAATAATAGTAATAATTTATTTGAATGAAATCCAATGTACGATACTGTTATTTTTATCATAATATATGTGTTGCAAATTAAATATGTCTATATTTTTTCTCTCCCTCTCGAATTATTTGGTCACATTCATATAGTTGCATGTACGATGCTTATTAAATAAAATGGTAGAATTAAATTTTCCTGTAATCTTGAGATGAAGGAAATCCATACTTGAGTAGAGATTAAGCTACTTGGAAAAATTTGGCTCGTATCCTGGCTCACTATAATATAAGAATGGTGTTTTACCTTTTATATTAATCTTATAAAATATGAAAATGTAATAAACTTCTTTGATCTCAGAAAGTTCGCACCGAGTCAAGCAATGTTTGCATTTTCAAATACGAGTATAATTATATAAAATATGGTTTTTGTTTCATACAATAGTTATAGAACGAGTTTCACATAAATGTATTAATAATGGCAAATAATAATATAATTTTCCAAATACTCAAAATATTAATAATGTACTATCAAAATGATTGATAAACGATAAAATTTTGATAAGTAATACTATATAGATTCTCTATTAATGGTTAGGCGCATTTTCATTTAAAGAACAAAAAACTAGAATATAATTCATTAATAAGAATTAGTGAAATGCTTAGGATCAAATTTTGTGATGTTAGTTTATCTGTAAGTCATGGAGAGCTCACGAATATTTTCGAAGGATAAAATTATATATAAAGGGAAATTTCGTTCAAAGCAAAATCATTTGCGAAGACCTTAAATAATATAAAATTGACTAAATGAATTCTTATCATAAGATTGTTTGATATTGTCTCAATCATCATTTTCTTAATCAATTTACTAAAAACTTACCTATAAAGTAATACATAACTTACCTATAAAGAACCATACATAGGACTTCCCGTACAGACGATGTTTGTAGACTTCGCATAGGACTCGACGTGCTGCTACCACGTAGAACAGGCCCACGATAACGCGAGCGTCCTGCCGTCGGAGATTGCGAACGGCATCCGCGGGATCCGACAGGAATGACTGCCTTGTCACAATTTCGATGCTGACTTTTTTGCAATGGGCTTCCAAGTCCTCAACAGTCTGTTGAAAGAAATAAATTAATAATTTTAATGGAGAAAATAGTGTACCAGATGAGACCTACAATGATCAAAATAGTGTTCTATCTGAGGGATAGTATCAAATTATCCAAAGGCCATATATCACATATCGCTTAATCCTTTTTCAGATAGAACATAGATAGGCCATCATAAACCTCTTGCTTTATCCATTTTCAGATAGAACATAGATAGATAGATATCTTTGACACTTTGTTGTCTCTACCTATCCCCCAAAGAATTTGACGAGAAAATAGATGTATTAGTGGTTTGATATCTACGTTATTTATCGATTCAATAGTCGAAGCTAATGGTTTTGCCGATGTGAATTATATATTTTATTATGGTCCATCCATGTATTATATTTAATTAAAATCCGTTCAGTTATTAAAGCTCGAGAATATAATAAACGTTCAACCATCTAAACATATACCCGTGTTAACGTTTATAATAACAATAACAGAAAATCTTTGGGTATCATAAATGTTAAATTTAGTAACTTTAATGATATTAAAAGATAAAGCACATTGAAATAATATTTTTTACAATTAAATATCTTTATCTTATTAAAGATGTTTAATTTATTCTTAGAACATCAAATTATCTGAAATGACTGAATTAGAAACCGCTAAATTCAGAGAAAACGTACTTTCGTTAATAAGAAAATGAAAAAACAAGAAATCGTCTAGTTTAATGAATTAAGTTAAAAATAGCAAATTCAATTACAGGTACAGTGTTTTATATACGGCAGGCACATGTAATAATTTAATTGTGCGAATTTTTCCATGTAATCCGAGTCGAAAATAGGAGAGCAAGAAAGCTTCAAATCCACTTATGCAGAAAAAACGGAGCTGCACTAATTACATTGAATACAGCATGAAAGGCCGGGCGCCATTCATTGCGCCAACTATACAGTTCCCCTCGTTATGCCTTGTGCCCTCTATAAATAGGTGTTTTCAGCTTACAAAAACACATTCGTTGAGTGCACGGACCTGAATATGGGGAAGCATTTTAACAAATGGGAGTCTGATATATTGGGTGCATATTTAACTATTTATAATCATGGTTAATATTATAAAAATTTACAAAGAAGTTATCAATGGCTTTTAAAATATCCACTTCGGCTGAATACGAGTATGTCACCAACAGTTCTATAGCTCGTTTGTAAATTCTTGAAATATCTTCGAAGCCAGATGGGGAATTGCATTGATAAAATTGAGATATCAAAATGACGTAACATGCGAGTCTGGAGCTATACTCTAAGTGATATTTCATCTTTTGAACTGTGTAGCAAGTCCTAATTTTTGCATGATAAAAGACCTGTACGAGTATGTGGCAATATTACAGCGCTATTAGTGTGCTGATAACTGATATGTTGGCTATAAGACTAAAAATATTTAATTTCTTGACTGTTAACACGGAAAAAAATATGCTTAATATTGCTCGACACAAAACTTTGTGTTTTTTTGTATTTGTGTCAAACTTTTTGGTAACGAGATTTCTTTGAGCTCTCTGCTTGAATGTTGTATTCGTTACAACGGTAATAATTGTCCGAATGGCTCTATTTTATCTGAATAGTGTAGTGTGAATTTTGAGTTTCTTATTAATATTATAATGTTATTGATATAAAATAAATTAATTCCAATATAAGTTAATTCCCAATGAGCAAATTTCCTTATGTATAGTTTTGTTACTTGAATATTTATAGGAAATTTTAGTATGGTAACAAATATTCTAGCACTTTTAGAAAATGTATGTTGCCCTCTTGAGAACGAAGTCAAACTATATCCCTAAACTTAGGCTATTTTATTTTATTTCTTGTAAATGGACGCTAAGCGGCCGATAAATTATTGGTGTGTCAACGGACTTTATTGTGACAGATGGTCGAAGACTGGATAAATCATAAATCAAGAGCTTTTAGCATTATATACGTAATAAATGCAATGCGATATTTTTCAATGTCTTTGTTAATTTTAGAAGACGATATCTATAAATTACATAAATATTTGAATATACTCGTATTAATATTATATATACTATTCTCTTTAATTTTAGCCGAAATCCGGTGATAGTATTCATGAAGCAAAACTACTCTCAATGTATGTTCAAAACGAGACATGAAAATATATTTTTTTTTATATTGAATCGGTGACGTGACTGAACAGTTCGTATGGGAAAGTTTCATATACTCGTATTTGTAGTTCAATGTTTCTTTGTGACAGTTATTTAGTATTGTGAATTTTATCGCTAGATTTCGACTTTTTATAACCGATCTATTACACGCTATATAACAATATATTTGAATTACGAATAACAGACTTTATAGTCGTCGATAACATTTCATAGCATCTATTTAGAACGTGTAAGATTTTTATAATATAATACCATGTCACGAGTTGGTTAGGATGGACGAATGTTCGTTACTCTTTCACTCAAAAACTACTAAACGGATTTGGTGGACAGGTAGTTAGATTGGTACACAGTTCCTAATTTAGTATACAGGATACTTTATATATTGATTCACATGGGCAAATCTGTGGGATATAACTAGTGTAATAATATGTTATGCGAGGTTGCCTGAATGCGGTAGTTTTTCCTTTAAGGAAAATATTTAGTTTCACTGGTGAAATACTCCATTAAAAAGATACTAATGATTACGATTTCACCCTAAGTATAATTATTTTGTATATTATGTTTATTATGTACAGATATATATCTATGGGTACCTTTTTTAACACTGTGTTCTGTGATATTTATCGTTTGCATTATTTAGGACAACGTACGGCGCACTTTGATCGGGTGGTGTGGGGACACGGGTGAGAAAAAACCAGGCTTTAGATATACGTGTTCATTTTTCATACGAGAGGCAATGAAGCTTTCCTTCGCTTGGGGGTGATTATTTTCTCTTTACAGCCAAAGTTATGTTTTTGCGAGGTAGTCGACATTTGCCCTTTGGTTGCTACGGAATATATATGCAATATGCTAAAAGTTAATTTATAGTTTGTTAATTTAATAACTTTAAAATATTTTGTTTAATCCTACTAATGTTATGAATATGAAAGATTGTAAGCCTGAATACTTAAATGTTTAGTTCAAGTATTCAAGCAGGCTTAATTTGTTATTCTATTACGTTTGAATCAAATTGAATGAAATTTGATACGTAGATAAATAAAGAGTTTTATCCTAATCCGCAAAATAAAAGCGATAAGCCATAGTTTAACTATTAATAAATTTAATGCCAGTTTTTATCATCGAATATACTGTTGAGTAAAAAGATTTATTTTTGTGTTATTATTTTTATTGCTCTGGTATTTTTTCCTTCAGTATATTCAGTGATATTCGTGGTGGCAGTCTTTGTATTTTATGGAATATTAAGTTAACTGATATAATTTTGCTTAATTAATATAATAATAATAATTTATTCTATAAATTGAACATAATAATTTTAAAGTTTTGAAATAAATTAATAAAAAATACAGAAATTTAGGATTATTAAAGTAAAAAATTTAGTCGATTTGAGTATTTGTAAGAATAGAGAACCATTATCGGTTTTATGTAGATACATTCCTCTTTTGGCTGTAGGTACATGTTTGATGCGATATATAGAGCCGATATGCAAATCCACAATGAGATTTATTCTGTAGAAATATACGTAGGTTTCGTTTATTTTCCATAACTCTATAACTTCATTTTTGATCATAGCGTTTTATAAATATGTAAATATATTTCGGAGAAAATAAAAACGTGGGGTGTGTTATTTGGTATATTCGTGTTTTATTTTTACAAGCTAACCATACATTAAGTAATGGTATAACATTAAGAAATTTTTAAATTAATTAATAACATTAAGTAAAACTTTAACATTGATAATGTAAAGACACTAGAATATTTTCAGTATTGTACATAAAGTACACAATATATGAGTAATTTTAGTTTAAATTTCATTTAGTTAAATGAGGTTTAATACTTGAATTTTGTTATTAAAAGACCAATTTTAGATATCTTTTATTCCAACACGGCTTAAACAGCTCAGTGCATTTAAATGATATTTGGTATACAGATGGAACATATTAATATAATTATTTGTATATTTTTTTTTATTTTACCTGTAGATAATATTTTTATAAAGAAAATAAAAATGAATATGTTCACGACTACAATCTCTAACGAGGTACTTACAGGCTTTATTCAGCTGTTGATGATGTAGTCAGAGTTCCATTGACGTGTCCACATTTTGTTGAGTATTCATTAAAAGTTAAACACACATAATTTTTTTTGTGTCAATCTACTCACAATATTTGCTGTCTATATGTCAAGTATGTTTTTAAAAATTTTAATTCCGATATAAAGATATGGGACAACAATATTTGTAAGTGAATATTTTCTATTTATTGAAGATATTGCACAAAAAATGCAAGCTTAATTTTAGGTATTTGGGTAATTACAAAAAAAATCTTTTTTTTTCTAGAGAGTTGACCGTTTAATTAATAAAGAGAGTGGCCATCAATTTTAACACAGTAGTGGCACTGTACGTATGGTTATATTAAATATGATTAATCTGTTATTTTTTCGTCTTCAATCAAGATATTGATCTTTGTTATATATTAATTTAAGGAAGCACGATAATCGGGAATTTAGCTATATAAGTTTTTTTTTTATATTTTCAAAAGATTTCCTTTTGTTCGTAAAAGAATAATTTTAGCTGTATTTTTCTAGTAATGCTACGCGAATAGGCACTTTGCTAATTCTAAATATTGGCAAGCGTTGATATAGGGGGAAAGGGATTGTTAGTAATGCGGACTATCAGTTCCATTGCTAGCAATATAACCTAGATACCATGGTGCTGTATTTTAGGTGTATTTGTCATGATGGGCTAACCGACTTGCTTTTTTATTCTCACCTGTCATATCTCACTGGTGCCTCATCAGTATATACCGTTAGCGCGGGCGGATTTACCATTCCATTTTTATCCATTAAAAAATGTTGATGCAATCAATAAGGTTGAGAACGACAAGGAGTGTACCGTGTTGGTCTTATATTAATTTTATAAGATACATTTTTTAATTTTATATTTTGCGGAGTAAATAGTTTAACTTGCTTTAACTTTCACCAAATATGATGAAATTTAATCTAAATTTAGTGACATTTTTAATATATATATATATATATATATATATATATATATATATATTTTTAATTATGTTATTCTTCGGAATATAATACTCAATGCAATCACAAATATGTCTGTCCAGATTATTTTTTGGTTGAATTATCTTATTTCGCATATTGTCTGGTAGAAATTTATCTACGAGCAGGTAGGTATACACAGAATAATCCTTTTTATCGCTCACTCAGTAACTATTAGCACAAAAATATATTATGTAGTGATTTATGCTTTCAAACATTGAGGTATTTTTGACGTAAAATACTAGAAAATACTTTGAGATTTTCTTACATAAACACTGTATTTAGTTCAATAAAATATGTATGAGACTAACACAGGTGATACTTAAATCAATCAGGCGTGTAATCATGATATCAAATACACACACGCAAAATAATGAGGAAACCACGAATTTCCTTCTTTTTTGTAGGTGATAAACCACAGGATAGAAAACAGTAACCGTCACTTATTGATATGGACAGCGTTATGGTAATCAGGATGTAGTGCGACTATCATGGTACCATGCCATTATGCACTGTTATTCTTTGAATTATTATGATATATGCGTATTTTACTTAGAAAAGAAAAATATAATTCTAATTGTGAAATAACAAACTATATCTTTAGTATAGTATTAGTGAAATTAGTGTTCCAACTTAACCACGATTACACAATGACATTTCAGAATAGTCGTCAATATTCCCTTGAACCTACAATATTTCTCATATCAATTTAGCTATACCGCTTTGTAAATAAAGGATCTTGTTAAGGTCCGATAACTCGCTTGACTGCTTTCCAATACAGAGAAATCGAAATTGTCGATTCGTCGAAGGCCAATCACGAAGACCGTTTGTCAATCTGCTGACAAAGCGCTTGGCGTGTCATAGTACACTCGATGCTAGTAAGTAGATACGTAACTGCTCATCGAACGACTTTAGTCACGCAATGATTCCAGTGTTATCTATAGTCCCGACATATCTGTTGAACAATATCATTGTATTTAATACCAAGTTCAAACTCCACAGGTTGAATTATAGAAAGTTAATGTAACGTTAAGATAACATGTGGTACACGAAGAGATTTGTGCAGCGATCTTGAACAAACGAACATCGAATCATATTGTGTTTCTCCTCTCTTATATGTTCTATTTGTGGTATAGGTAAATTGTATGTATAGTAGACAGTATGGCTTATAAATTATCATACTAGACACAGTATTGAATACAATTTTCACGGCTGTTACATAACATTTAAATTTTGTAGCGCTTGTAAATTCAACGCAGAGAGTAAGCATTTTCATGCTATTGTTTATAATAATTAAATTTGCAACGCCGAAGAAATAGTTGAAAATTTTAATTTGATACGCAATGAAGAAGACTAGTTAATGCGTCTGTGAAGTTTTTATGATTTAAAAGCAAAATAATGATTTTAATCTACGAGTATTTGCGACAGGTGAAAAACGTCTGGAAATTATTAGGTTATATTTATTTATTTATCTATAGTTTGAGGTTTTTCCACAAAAATTCACGCGAATTAGTAAATTATTAATTTTGAAGGTAAAAATGTAAATGGAATGGAATGAAAATTTTAAAAGTGTAATAGTTGCAAAATATTTAGTTATAGATTTATATAGAAAATTCTTATGATTTATACTGGAATTCATTGTGAAATTAATTTGTAAATGATTGTTCAGAAATATTGAAAAAAAAATTATTTTCGATAATTGGCAGATAATACAGACGTTGCTACACGTTGCTATGGATACTCCTAATATGTCGATTTATTTTAGATCTTATTTCATTAAAGATAGATAAAATGTCTATACATTTCTCACTTTTTCATTTCTTCTTATTGGCAATCTGTTTGTTTCAAACCACTATTCAAAGTGGCGTTTGGTTTTCTATTTTGTATATAAATTTATTATTGTATTATTTTATATACAGAATATAAAATAAAGACGAATCTGGGAAGTGAAATACTCGTGAATATCAATTGAATGAATTGCCTGGCATTCGGCAATAAAGTACAAACGTATTTGGCCGGCAGACACGGGAGGTGAAGTGACGCATAGCTTACTACAGTGATTCGCCGACGCTGTAGCAATTACTCTCTTATTTCTTTAGCAAACTTCGTGGAACAATCTTTGAGGTTGTTTGCTTATAAGATGAGTTATAGCTGAACAAATTGAAAAGCATAATTGTTTTATTGTATCATTATTTTGGAATGATTTATTGTAAGTGAAGTGTCTATTTACATAAGGCCTTCTTATTGTAATGATTTATGTACTTAATTACATTTATGGTTTATAAAAGGCGGGAATTAATGGGATTATTTAGGTAAACTATGATAATTTATCTAATCTTTTCTCGATGTTCGACTAGGTATGACATCCGTACATCAGTTTAATCATGACCACGGCTAGTGTAATCGAAACATCGAGGCAATTTAGAAAATTATCATAGTGAATTTAAATGATTGTGTTGCTTTCCGTCTCTTATAAACTATAAATCATGTAACGCGAAAGACTAAAAACAATTATATTTTACACCGAGGAAAATCACCTATCAAACTGCATGCGAGAACTCTAATTCTATGATTCAGCAATCCTAGGCCGTGAATCTCCTTCTTCATAGTAATAAATATAGAGTACTTTATATTATAACTATAAAATATATGTTTCAATGTTTACATATATTTAAGTTACTGCAATTGTTAATAGTCGTAGTAATATTTACATAATTTTTATATATGTTTAGATTATGCTGAAAGGAAATTATTAATTATACATTTCCTTTTATTTCATTTGCATTTCTAATAAGACCTCTTGCTATTTTAAATACTGGGCTGTTTTTAAATTCAATATAACTTGACAAATTTGTTACGAATAATATATGTATAAGCTGTGCACGATTTTTTTTGTGTTAAAAACATGTATTCAAATATAGAATTAAAATGTATTGACTTTTATGTATTGAACTTTGATATTTGCATGCAATTAATAAAGCTAGAATGTAAAATTAATTAAATAAGCAGAACAATAATTAATTGTCTTTAGCTGTAACATGTTAATATTTTTATTTTTATTTCTGCTTCCCGCACTTTTTTTTTTAATTTTTGTTTATGTAAAGATTGACTTTACACACGAAAAACGACAGAAGATACGTTTTGAAAGGTGTAGTATAAATTATTGCTGTAATATAATAAAATGTATACGTATAGGTATAGAATACTTTCTTTTTCGATGGAAAAGTTCAGTATATGAACATATTAATAGTCCTTGTCGGAATTTGAAACATGTTCAAACTGAAAGCTCATGTGCTTTTTAGATCGTACTTGCAGTCTGCCTCGAGACGTAATTAATTTATGATGTTGATGTTATATATTGCTTTAGTATACCTACTACCACATCGGTTAGAGGTGACTGTAGGTAATGGAAATTAGAGATTCCATTATTAGCGATATATTCTGTCAGATCGACCTCCATGTATTTTCCAATGGAAATAATTGTGGTCAATTGGAAACTGATCTGTCTTCGATGTCTCCTATTATATTTTATGAGAGGAATCCTACCAGCGTTACTGCTGCCGCCGCTCGTTGGGTAGGTTTTTCTATGCCGCGTGATCTCGTCATAGGTCGAACTAACCCTTTTTTTCCTATGAGATGGATTAAGGGATCTTAACGATCAAGGGATGGGTAGCAGCGTTCCTCTTAAAACATCACCAAAGTTAACTGCGGTGGGAGGGATTGTTAGTAATGCGGACTACCAGTCTCATTGCTGGCAATGCCAGGTGTATTGGTCACGATGGGTTAACTGACCTGCCTTTTCATTCTCATCTGTCATCACTGGTGCCCCGCCAGCGTATATTGTTAGCGCAGGCGGGATTGCTATTCCATTATCATCCATTATAAAAAAAATATCCTTTATGGAGTAGGTCTACGTTCAATAGTGGACAGTTAATGGCTAATATGAAATGACGATGATCTTACCAGCGTAAATCGTCAGAGGGAAAGGGATTGTTAATAGAGAGGCCTAATTGCCCCATTGCTAGCAATACACCATATCAGGTTGACTTCCACGCGATTACACTGGAAACTGTCGTGGTAAATTTTTGTTGAATTCGTCTCGATGGGCTAGCTAACCTGCTTTCATCCTCATCTGTTATCCGTCACTGATGTTCTGCTAATGTATACTAATAGTTAGGCGAGGTCACTATTTCATTTACATTCATTAAGAAAAATTGTTAGTGTAGACTAAGTTATTATTCGACTTTCATCACTAATAAAAACCATTAGTTTCTAGAAACGTTAAACGTCTAATAATGTTAAAAAAATATTTTAGCTCTTTCTAAATAAATTACTAATTTGAAAGAAGACAATAATAACACTACTTATTGCAGAGTTTATTGTAAGATTCTTATGAATATTATGTATACTGGTACTTACAGAAATAAATACTTCTTCAGCCTGCTGCAAAATAGCTATACGTGACCAACCGAACTTCTGCATAAGTTTGATTCTCGTGGGGTTATGCACTGTAGCTGACGGGTGAGTCCGGAATAGAGTGGGAAAGCGGGCGCGGTCCGACAAGGCCGGCGATGACGCACCGTAGCATAACTGGACATAAAAATGAAAATATATGTATAACTTTTTATGCAAATTGGTATGAAACAAGCTCTATTGAAGAAGAATAAAACGTCGCCTATAGGTAGGGATATCACAGAATACACTGGATTGTTCTTGGTACCTTTATTGGATTGCTATTGATAAGGACTGTGATGTTATTGTAATATATTTTATGAAGATGTTTGGATATTAGAGACGTTGAGATATTCGATACTCAATGATACTTATACCACTGAATAGATTTCAATAAAATTTCGTACACAGGTGGAACATATCTTGACTTAACACGTCTAATTACTTTTTTTGCTTTCAACTGTGACTTTACTATGTGATCAAATTACGAGGCCAAATAGCGGGTTGCAGTTAATTTATAATTATGTCGATTATATAATATTATATATATATGTGCTTTATTTGTTTTGTTTGTTAAAAATATTCTTATTATTTATACATGCGGCCGGTTACGAAACTTCATATTCAAGCGTATTTCGCCTGAAGATGAATAAATGAATAATATTAGATATATGGTCGATATAATGACGTGCCATCAAGAAGTAACAACATAACCAGTAAATTTCGAATATAATTATGTCTGTAAAATGAGCTCTAGTGATAAACTGAAAATTAATTCTGTGCAGTTTTGTGTTTGACATTTTGTGAATATTTGTTTCAAATTTGTAGCGAGGCCTAAGCGCTGAGAAATTTAGTGGACATTCTCTCTACTGAAATTCGTTCAAATTTCGACTATTGGTGCTGTAATTTACAAATCACTAAAATATATTTCTAGAAACATAAATTGTATTAGATTATAAATCTTACTAATAAAATTTTAACAAGATGATGTTTTTACATGGGAGATATTTAAGAAAAATTGATGTGAGTGGTTTAAATAAGACCAATAGAAGCCCAAACAACATGTTTTAGAAATTTTGTTTGTTTGTCTATCTATATGTTTGTTCCGATATCACAAAAATTACAGCAATAATTTGAATATGCTTTTCACAGTTGTATTTCTGAAGAACTAACTAACTTAAAAATGGTGTATGTTTTAACTTGTTAAACCATCTAAAAGTGATCTTTTATTAGTTTTCTATTTCTGAAATCCCCCGTAAAAAATAATAGGCAAAAAGCTAGTATAGAAATAAAATATTGAAAAAGGTTTTACAAGTGTAAATTCTTACAATAATTTATATATTATGTTATTTATCCTGATATATTCATATTTGAAGATATTTGACCTTTGATGAGTATTTTGAAATATCTATTTCAGTTGTGGCAATATTAGCTAAAGATAGGTAGATATACATACACATATATAAAATATCATCACGTTGAACATGTTCTGCTTTTTGAAGTTGCCTAGGAAGTTAATATATAATTAAGCAGCACAAATAAATTTACATATATTATCCTTGTTGTAATTTAATTAGTAATACAATGTGTTACCACAACTTTTAATCTCATGGACGTCATAAAAGTTGATTAAGGAAGGAAATTGTGATACATCAGTGAAAGCGATTCCAAGCAGCCTGACAAGCGCGGTAAAATAGGCTATATCTTCCTCATATGGAGAACCCAGCAGTGGGACATTAATGGGCTGTTAAAGTAAATCTACAATAGCTATAAGTACTGACACAACAGTAAATTGTCCATTACGTAAGTATGTCATGAAACGAGGATCGTTTATGGTACGGTTACATTAGCAACACTGATGGCCAGCGTACTTCCTACGCCTACATTTTATTAGTCGTATTGCAAGTATCACGCTACCTTCCAATAACTTCGAAGTACGCTATTAGCAAGATAAATGTGTATTAAATATACTTAGTTATATGTTGTATGGCTTCGCTGGTATCTTTCATGCGTTGTTTTGAATTTTTTTATGCAACTTAGAATGCCAAACAAACTGATGGCCCACTTGATGGAAAGTAGTAATCGATGCTTATAGACTTGAATAGTAAATAACATAAATTGACATATTATTAAAAATTCTAATAAATGATTCTAACTATTCTGACTCTATGACGAGGTAGAATGTTGTTAGGGTTTAGCTGATCTAAGTTTGATAGTATAAATTCGTCTTCATCATTATGAGAGACGAGTATGTTTCCATGACTTCTCTAAGATTTCATCACATTAAAATGCTTAATTTTTAAAAATTTAAAAATTAAATTATATTTTATTCTACAAAAAACTCGACTTCAAAATTAGAAATGATTTTTTTTTTATACCACTGTGGTGGCAAACAAGCATACGGCCCACCTGATGGTAAGCGGTTACCGTAGCCTATGAACGCCTGCAATACCAGAGGTATTACGCGCGCGTTGCCGACCCTGAAAAAACCTCTTTACCCCCTTTTGAAGAACCCCATATCTCTCGGGATCGGCAGGGAGCTCATTCCATAACCTGAGTGTTCGTGGGAGAAAGCTTAATTTTTAAAAAAATCCCTGTCGAAAACGATGATAAATTCATATTGAATAATTCCTCTGAGCACAATCCGTTGTATAAGCGGTAGAACAAAAAAAATCTCTCCTAAGACTTAAAAACCGCTTGCAAGCATGGGATCATCGACAATTTTTTTCGTTGCACTGAGTCGAAGGGTTCAAGCTGGTATCTAGGTGCTCCCGCCCATAAGTGACAGCAATACGGGGCCGGATTTGCGATTTGTAAAGCATTAATCGCTGATCCGGCGTGAAGTAATGCTTCGCTCTATTGAGCACACCGAGTTTTTTGGATGCCAGCTTCACCTTATCTTCGAGGTAGCCACGGAACTGTACGTCACTAGAGATGTCGACACCAAGGATCCCAATGCTTTTAGAGATGTTAAGAGACGTGCCTTGGAACTGTGGGGCCACAGCAAATGGGGTTTTCTTAGCGGTGAACGCGCAAGCTTGTGTCTTAGAGGGGTTAAATTGGACCAAGTTTTGTCGTCTCCAATCAGAGACTCCAGTTAGTGTTCTCTCGATTTCAGACACAAGCTGTTCACGATTGTTCTCCACGATGGAACGGGAGACATTGGTACGACCCGTATAAAGGGCATCCCCGGTGCTGTCATCCGCATAACAATGATTAAGTGAAGTGATAAGTCTGATTGTTAAAAATAACACGGCAGTAAACCGTATTGATTACAAAGAAAGTAATGCAAATCGGTGCGGAGATAACGCTTAATATATTCATATAAAAAATAAAGTAACATTGAGAATCTTCTATCAACAGAATTTTATTTGTCGTTTTGTTATCAATAAAATTGTTTGGTACTTACAGACATAACACATAATTTAGAACATATAAATGGCACCGTATGAGGAATATCATGGCTGCCATAGCGTATTTTGCTACATATATGGTGCTATTTAAGTCTATAGGTGACGGTTACCGCTTTCCAAGAAATGGGCTGCCATCTTCATTGCTATTCCAAGTCGTATATGAAAGTACCTATTATCCAAAGTATTATTTGATAGTAGGAAAATTTAATTAGCATTGTTTTAGTAAGAGGATTTTGATGGCATGTCAAAATAATAATAGTTGTAGTAATCTTGTATCTAAACTTGTGTTTGTTACGGGTGACGAGTTAATTACCATTTTATGGCTGTGTATGGCCAGAATAAACGTAACAGGGCTAATTCTGAGTCAGGACTATGCCATTATATAGCAAATATAATTGAAGTAACAGCTATATCAAGTTGAATTTGCTGTTATTATACACATATTGTTCATAGTCAACTGACAGGATATTATACCGACATTACCTACAGTCTGGTATAATAATATACCGAGTATAATTATGTATTTGTATTGTAGAAATTCATTCTATTTATAGCATTATGAACAAATCTATAACACTTGTATCTCGTTGTTTTGCCCGCATAAGTCAGTATCAAAAATAGATTGTGTTAATTTATGTTACCATGTACGTACAAAATTTGATTGAAGTCTCTCCAGCATTTAGGTTGACTACGTAATTAACTAAAATCACAACAGTATTTTGTGATGTTCATGATGCTTTTGATATCCACATGTCATGGTTACTACGTCCACCACTATGTCCTAGGCCATCATCTTGTTTACTATTTTATTATGTTATTGTTGTATTATGTTATTTCATCATTCCTCATTTTCACAAACTGTCACATTTGTAATACTTGCAGTCTTACAAAGGGTTAAATAAAGCTTAAATATAATGTTAACTTTCTACTTTCGGGGGCAAGGCTCTTCCCGTAAGAAGAAAATATTAGACTACCACGCTTATTAGGCAGCTCGGTATAGATATTTGTTAAGGTTTTCTTTTATACTATTGATATTTTATTTATTTAGTCACTTTAGTAAGTAGCAACAGTTCTAGTATATGCCATAGTTATAGTGGTTAAAATTTTTGATAATTAATATATAATATATTAAATAAGAAAACAACTTGTCATCACTCGTTTTCATTCTTTTGTGTGTTGTATTAATAAAATAAAGCATTACGTTTTTTTAAGTACTAGACAATTTGCTCATTGCCATGTTGCCTAGTTAGGATGGTAATAATAGACTAGAACCTTTAAAGAGACCCGAGCTCAGTAGTGACATATTAATAGGTTTTCAAGAAAAGATAAGAATACTTACAACCATAAGATTCCACATTTTTGCTGCTTCGGCAACAGTTGTGCATACAGTTGAGCAACCAGCCAGTAGTAGCAACTTTTGAGGTGGATTATAAAGTAGATTATACATGACACTCGCGCCCAGTCCTGGTTCGCACTGCAAATAAAAAATATTGTATGTAGCATGCTTATAAATACATTGATTTGTAATGTACAAATGAAAAAAAAAAAAAACATAGTATATTGAAATGGCACCGTGATAACTTTTGGTGTGGAGGTGAAGGTTGTTGTTAGTAACGAGGATGGACGGCTTCTGTTTCAGGAAATATACTTTCTCTCTAATATACCTACACCATCATCTTGGATATCCCGCGAACACGCAGGCTGTGGAATAATTTTCCTGTCGACACTTTTCCTAGAAACTACAGCATGGGATTCTTCAAAAAGAGTGTATTAAGGTTTCTTAAGAATCGGCAACGTACGCGTAACAAACTTGGTATTACAGGTGTCTATAGGCTATAGTAACTCCGTTTATCATCAGAAGGGCAATATGCTTGCCACCATAGTAGTATATATATATATAAAAAAAAAAAAACATTATCATGGTTCATTTCTCGTATACTCGTCACGATAGGCCAACTGACCTGAATTCCTCTTCACCTATTCTCATTCACTAAGTACTCTGTGACTGTATATTAACCAATACTCCGTTACTCCATTTAAGCATAATCTTCCATTTCATTCATAAAAAAGTCTGGTGCACCTCTGGTTCCTGAATATAATTGATACTACTAACACAGAGTGCAGAATTCAATCTTCTGTCCGTGATGGTTGAAAAATCAGTATGAACAGGGATAACTTCATGGATGTATACCTGGGACACTATGCAACGATCATGCGTTTGTTAGATATTTATTTTAAATTATATTAATTTTCTTAAACATTTTATGTCAAAATGTGTTCCTATATTTATTAATAAAAATCAAACTAACTACTTTAAATATATTAAAATATTAAAATTGTTATTATACCAAATTTTGTAAAAAAAATATTTTTGTACTGTATATAAAATACTAATTTATATTTTTGATTAATTTTTAATTTAATTGATTTTTTAATTATTTATTATAATGATATTTAAATAAAAAGTAATAAGATTGTAAAAACACGTGGTGTCGCTGACTTGTTTACTCGAATTCGGCCCTGTAGATATAAAAGATTGTTATTTGGATGGGGAGACACTTCTTATCCAACCGTTGAACAGAGCTAAGCTCCCGGACATATCAAGAGTGAACAAGTATACTAAACCATGTGGTCATTATATAAAATATATCACAATTATTGTTGATGGAAGTCTTAAAGAAGCTATAGTTAAATAAGCGTCAATGGATTAACAGAAGTTGGGCATTTATGTTATATTATTTGTTATATGTCATATACGAGGTAAAATAAGTAAATATATGATTTAAAGGTATGATATCTAAATTAAATGAACTGTGAATACATGTGCTTCGTTTCTCTTTATTACTAAGAGGTTTACAACCTTTATATTGCCAAAGAATATATCATATACATGTAAAGTTAGGATTACGTAGTTAAATTACTATGAAAACCTATTACCCTACAGAACATATTATATATATTAAATATTATAAATAATAATAACGGTCTCTTTATTTGACACGTTCATGTATTTTGGTATGTCTATGGTCAGAAATAAAATGCCAACAATTAATTCAAGATTTTGTTCTTACATCTTGATAAAATAATATTTAAATTAACATTCTATAAATTGCAATATTTATAATAAAGTCGTTTTAGAATTGACATAGTGACAGTAACAAAAAATATAGAATTGAAATGGCAATCACGATGGCGGCCCACCTGATGGAAAGTGGCAGTCGTCGCTTAAAAATATTACAAACATTTTTTTTTCAAAATAAAAGCTATATTTTACCTGTACATTTCATATACGTATTCTGAATTGGACTCTACCGTTATGATAAAAAGGTGTGCCATTTTTCATGACAACCAGAGTAAAATTTGTTGGAAAAAAAGGACTAATTAGGACTATGCAAATAATGTTGATTTATACTGGTGTTGAGTTGATTAAAACGTGACCCGTTACAATTAATGTGAAGTTTGAATACAATTTGCCTAATTTATTTTAGGAGTAAACTTTCATAATATAATTGAAAATGTTTAAATAAATGAAATTAATATAAAAGGCTTAGTCACTTTTTATTATATACAATAGTATAGTTAATATACAATAGTTTTTAGTATACAATAGTATAGTTAATTTTAAATTTGTTTAAAAAATGTCAACTTTAAATGTGAACTGATAAAAATATCAGATAATATACATATAAATAATATGAGATTTTGCTCTACAAAAGAAATATCCACCTTAATTGTGGCAAAACCATCGATTTTGATGATATATTGAACTAATCTAAAAGTATGTATCCTTTTAGATAAAAAATAATTTTCTAAAAGAGTTTCTAAACGATGGAGTTCTGAGATAACAAATATAATAAGAATACAACCGAATTGATAACTTCCTCCTTTTTCGAAGAGAAGTTTTGAAAATATACAAATATTTGCAAATCAACTTGCGTCAGAGGCGTTCTTCTCTAGAAATCTGTCCGATTCTATATTTTAGATTTAGGGCATACGGGTATGCGACCCCGGTCTCCTGAACCGCTGCAGTATCCCAGGTCTTTCCACAACTGCAGTGTCCCCCCTTTCCTTTCCCACATAAGTTCCTTATTCTTCTCATTTACCAATTTCCTTTACACATTCCCAACGTTCCGTTCCTTTTTTCCTCAATCCTTTTCTCCATACCGCAGGTGGTGGAAACCACCAACAAATGCATTCCTAAAGAGGGTTGACGTCAGGCAGATGGCCGGTCGTAAAATTAAAAGCCAAATCTTTTTGTAATATGGATAAAACCATATTATGCCGACCCCAAATAATAATTGGGATAAGGGTAGGAAGATGATGAAGACTTGTAAATCGAGAATCTCATACTTTTTTTTCTGAAGTAGTTTCAATAACATGACTTATAATAGAGTTAAGGACCGTAGATAAGTAAGTTACTCTTTAAATAAATTCCAATAGATCGTTATTGGAATTTACACATTTTTTGGACATAATTGTTATATATATATAACAATTATGTACTGTAACTTGTCAATGCAAACTTTTACAAACTGATCCCAATTTTATATGATTATTATTTATTGTTTCATGAGTGCAGTATAAAATTGTCATTGACATTAGATTGGATTGATACTGATATTAGATTCAAGAGTAGGCCTGCAGATCCATTTTTTAAATTCGATTTGCTAGTTATTTTCTGATTCCATATAAATATGTATATATTATTTAAAAAGACACAAGTCTGCGCGTTTACCGCAAAAAAGACGCCGTTTGTCGTATCTCCTCACTTTCAGGGCACTTCCCTTGATAAAAAGTCGAGTCTAGGAATTCTGGGCGTTGATATATCTTGCAACGTCCAGTTTTGCGGTCATCTGGAGGAGAAGGCTAAGATAGCTTCCAAAAAGTTAGGAGTGCTCAATAGGGTGAGACGATATTTCATTGAAATTATATAAAGCCCAAGTCAGGCCGCATATGGAATACTCTCACCTGTGGGCAGGAGCGCCACAGTACCAACTCCTTCCGTTAACCGCATTCAAAGTCGGGCGGCTCGAATTATCGATAGTCAACGCCTTACTGTCCGGCTTGACCCATTGAAACTGCGCAGAGATGTTGCATCTCTGTGCATCTTCTACCGAATTTATCATGGGGAGTGTTCTGAGGAATTGTTCGGATTGATACCTGCTGCTGATTTTCACCATTAAAGTTTCATCCCAATCATCTGGACGAGTGGCGGTCTTCCACCGTGCGTTTTTCATTTCTTCCACGCACAACCATTCTTTGGAATAACTTCCAGCAGCAGTATTTATTATATTAAAAATGCCGCTGGTGTTGTGGGTGATCAAATACATGTATTGATTAAAATGAAAGCTACTTTCAATTATTTTGATAAGGAAGACATATTTGAAATCAATTCTTATTCAATTAATTAATGAAAATAAAAGAATTAGTTAAATTTAATAATATTATGCACCGTTTACCTTATTCTTTCAAATATATTAGTAAGAATTTTGTATTGTTTTAAATTTTAAATTTAAACTTATAAAGTATATTTCTCCCGCATATTTAATATTTATTATGTATACATATTGATAACCCGATTTGTGCACCCATAAAATAAAAAGTTTACCTGTTTTTAGAGAAGCATTTTGTATGGAGACGCTCTTTCATATATAATCTAAGGTTCTAGCGTATGAGGATGATTTCCTTGTTGATAACTAATATGATAACAGAAGAATAAGTGATACGGCATAAGCATTTTCTCAAACGATTCATTAAAATAGACTCCATTATACAAATGGTAGAATACACAAAGGGAGACAGACTTGTCTAGAATTAGGAGCTCAATGCCGTTTGTGAATTTCGGATCGTGGACAATTCTCTTAGCGCACTGATGTAACATAATATTATTTAAAAATATAAATATGTCATAACATAATACCATTATAAATATAACATAAATATAATGGGACTTGTATTTTCATTTAAAACGAAGGTATATTTACCAAAAAATATAATGTTTGCTGTTGCCATATTTCAAATCATATCAGTAATATGTCTGTGACTTTTATGAATGCTAGCATATATCATTTTAATTTATCATATAGGAGTATTTTAGTATTTAAAAAAATCATTGTTTTCCTAAATCTCTGATTAATAACTGCATCTTGTGGGTCAATACAATCAAACACTTAGATCTTATCTAGACGTGCGTTAAATATCAGATATATCTAACATGTCCTGAAACAAAAATGACGAACTAATCCCTTGTTGCGTATCTTTGTAAAGGAATTTATTATTTAATGGTCTAGATTATCCTTTACAGTACACCCCGTAAACTTCATCTTCCATACACTACAAACTATTTCCGTTCACAAGGACGCAATATTGACTGGATATTCTTTGAACATTTTAACACAGCGGACGTGGGACTGTTTCCGTTTGCTAAGACGAGAAACCCGGACATTTTAGGCATTTTTACGTGTACACGGGAAATAATATTATGACAGTTTCAGTCGATATACGAATACATAGATGTGTCCTTTAGTCTATTGCTCTCCTTGTCAAGCGTGAGCTGATCAGGTTTATGTACAGTTAATTTGCCGGCTTGACTTACACAGGTGCATATGTTGCTAAATCGTAAAGAGATACGAGATATTACAATAGATAAAATATTATTCAGCATATTTTAATCACGGTATGGAGACTATTATATCTAATTCGCTAAGCATTGTATTTCCGCTGTCTTCTATGCAGCAATAATTTGTCTTACGATTATAAATATCCATACATTACTCAACGACGTAAAGTTTTAATTAGAGATGTTATATTTCTTTATGAAAGGACGCGGTAGGGCAGGTTTAATTAAACCCATGCGTAACTTCTAAATAACAGCATCTATAGATTATGTTACCGTGAATTTATGGTATAAATTGTGCGGCCGTCGAGCTATCTTCGAAATCTTTGATGAACGTAATTTATTTTTCTATTCAAGAGGTTGATAATAATTTCTTTCGGAAAAACAATTTAATAGAGGTTTTGGTGAAATTTTGTTAAAGAAAGGGATACGTTGTTTTTTTAAATATACACTAATGGAAAAAATTAAAGTATAAAAAAAAATATTCACATTTATAGGTGATTTTCAATAGACTGTAACTTATAGAGAAAAATCTAGCTGTAAGTGTCTAGATTTTGGGTGTAAATTTGAAAAATTTTTCATTTCAGTTTTTTTCAGGCAAATTTGAAAAAAACCACAGACAAAAAAGTTTATAATTTTTTTTTTGGGTTTTAATCGTCTACGGTTTTTAAAAAAATTTTTCTTTGACATAATCACTATATGAAGTAGATAACATGTTTCTTCAGCTTCAAATTTCTTTTTTTAAATCCGCTATACGATCATTTTTCGCGGAGATATAAGACTTTGAATGAAAAAGGATCATTTTGTCTTTATATTAACAATATCCCTGCAACTAATGATCGCACAGAAAGTTGTAGGTGGGTTCTGGAAACTTGAATAAATTTCATATAAGGATGAGTCATTGTTTAAAAAAAAAAAATTTCTTGACATGTTTTTGAAAATGCAACAAAAATAGGGCTTTTGATGAATGATTTTTTGCAAAGTAAAGCGCTAAATCGAAAATCTTGAGGAAACTCCTAATGTTAAGTGTGCTTTTTACAGTTTAATATAGCCACAAAAAGCCCACAAAGTTTCAATTTAATCTATTTAGCCGTTTCTTTGTTTTTCTCGATAAAATTTTTTAAAAAATTAAAGGTTCACTATGTTCGTACCAAAAAGCTCATAATATTCAAAAAATGAAAAGAAAATCTCTGCTTTTTGCACATTTTTATTGCAAACAGCATTGCATTTTATATTCATGTTTCTAATACTCACTTGTAGCTTAGGCATATTGTAATTGAAATAGGGGGACATTACTTTACATTACTAATTATTTTATTTATTTCTAAACATGCTGATTTATTATAAAGACAATTCGAAAAAAAACACATTTTTCACTAATATAATAAAATTATAAATAGACGATGTCTGTGCATGGGAGATATTTAAGAAAAAATTATACGAGGGGTCTTATTAAAACCAATAGAAACGAAAAATATATTTTTTAGAAATTTTGTCTATTTATAAATAAAAATTATTCATTGGGATCGTCGGTCGCAACCAAGTAAATTCGTTTTTCTTCGTTTACTCTCTTTTAAAGATATATTATTATCTACGCTGTTATGCCCGTATTGTTATTATTATGAATAATTAAATCAGTTACAAATAATTTAATTTAAAAATGGATTTATTATTATTTAGATATTATTTTTATTATCTGTTGAATTTTTCATTCTATTTCTTATTATATTATGTTATCAAATCCCTCTCAGCATTTTTGTCCCTAATCGCCACGTTATCAATATCAAAGTGAACGAAATCGTCGATTTGTCCCTGAATATAAATCGATAAAATTGGAAATTACCCGCGGACCGGCTCGGAAATTCTATCCAATAAAATTTTCTTCCGTGAGCCATTCATAAATTCTCAATAATTGAATCGAACGTCAGGTTCACCCTCTTGGTTGCAATATTATAAGCCTATGATTTTAGTTCATTTAGATTTATGAGCGGACTTGGTCCTTTGGATAACGAACCCTTTTTGTTAATTACGGGCCGCAGTCAGCTTGATTTTCAAACTTAATGGATTAGGTGCTTGTCACTACGACGAGCGGCGACATGTTATGCACATTATGTTGAGTGAAATTTATAATTGACGTTTTCATGGCGAGCCTCCCGTGACAGTTAATGTTACTTAAATCTAATTATATGTGTTGTAATTCCGTTTAACTTAGTTTCAAAGTAAATTAAATTTGCACGTGAACGTTGGATTTAAGTGGATTATTTAGGTATAATATTTATGATAAACTATAATAGTTTTATGAATTTAACGTTTTCGAAGAGATTTTATTTATATTTTTATTTATATACAGTAAACTTATGGAAGAATTTGTTTTTTTTGTACCAATTAGATTGTAAAAAAAAACAACTGAAGGTCTGGTGAAAAATGGCAATCGCATACAGACATGAATAGCACCAAGGACAATATATGATATATTTTATTAGAAATGAGTTTAGATTTTGCTAAATGAGACTTTGTTTCTGCTTTCTGTAATTTTTCCATTATCCTACCCTTCAAATTAAAAACAGATAATATACAAGCACAACTGATTGGCTTCAAAATCAGAAGTGGTTTTTTTCTTAGACAACTTTTCTACAAACTTTCTCTGATGATTAGTTGAATCTCTTGTTTAAAGTTTTGCCTAGTATCTCAAGGATCATTTCATTAATAATTATAATAATATCTAGATCTTTACTACAGGAGAAATATTAAAAAAAAAATAGGATATATTTACCTTACTATCATTGCTGTGTAGTAACAATTTGAAGCCGGATAACAAATCTGATCGTGCATTTACATCAGCCAGTGCAAGCTCAGCGGCGGGCTTGCAAGCTTGTCCTCCTTGCCAGCCACCTTCGCCCTCCATAGGGAAGATTCCTCCAATGTGTAAATCGTTGTCCCTTCTACCCTCACTATATCGGCTAAACCCGCTCAACCACAGTAGCAGCAGCGCCCGCGCCCGCCTGCTCCCACTCCCTCGTCGACCGCACCATCGCACTCGCCCCACAGACACAAGCACAACCCACTTGGCAACAACGAATAATTGCACTAATGTTTTCACTAATAATGATTTAACATCACAGTACACTGTTCTAGTTCGAAAACTAAATACATTACTCACAGCAGCTTTTAATTTGACTAGCGGACGCTTTGAAAAATTTAAGTTCGCGCGCACTCGCGGGAGATAGCTGTTGGCATTTTGATATAAATATGATATCACCCGTAGAGATTGTAGACATAGCCTAATAAGCGTGAAATTTTCTATAAAATATGGCATCAGGGGTGGATTGTGGGGCGCGTCGCACAGGGCGGGCCCCGCCGCCGCGGGTCCCGGACGACCCCCGGCGTGTTGCAGGGTCATCGCTCGCGGCGGGGACAGGCTGTCATTGGTCACCTCTCTCATTTTCCATCATCATTCCTGTAACAATAAATTGTATTTTAGTATTATAGTTATGAAACTTTTGTTTTATTTATACAATCAGAAAAATAAGTATATTCCATATATAATTTTTTTTTATGCTTAATCAAATTTTTCCATGAATGATTATCATGCTCTGATCATTTCATTAGCAATAATATTTTAACTACACATATAAGGTAAAAGAGATAAAACATTATGGATTTTCATCATATTGAAATTGATATGTTAAATTCATAATGAGATTGTATACTATGTTATAATATTATTACCTATTATTAAAATAATTACCGCTTTAAAAATAATTCAATTTAAAGACATTATGGGCGATACACTATACTGTGGTATGTCCATGGTATTGTTTACGTCTATCGGCAACGGCTACCACTTTCAATCAGGTGGGCCGTCAGTTTGTTCACCATTCTAAGATAGTATAAAAACTAAACTTTTCTCAAACATGCTTGAAAATGTGAGCATTATTTTGACAATCTTCTTCGAGATAAATCAAAATTGCCGTACTGGCAGATACATGCGGGCAGCGGCCGGCAAAAATTGTATGAAAATCCATATCTGTCGTGTTTTGCGGCCAGATAAATTACTATGTAAACTCATATCTGTCCTGTAATTTAAAAATGGAATGTCCTTTTACTTCGAAACATGGCTACCAAGTAGGTAACTATTAAATGGTTTTTTTTAATTTTGGAACTGCCTTGCAAATTGAAAGCTTTTTATTGAAAAAAAAAAACAAAGGAACATTATGGCGCGTGAAAAATTATTATTGTTCATTATTCGTCATTCTTTGTGTTTTTGATTTCCGCGCATTGTTTGATTACACAAGCTTTCCTATTAATGAGTCTGAAGTTAGAATACGCATCGATATAATTTTTCAATTGTTATTAAAATGATCTCACTTATCTCAATTATCTTCCGGAGCTCCCAGATAATATCTGAGAGCTCCGGAAGATAATACGAATATATGCCGACGCAGAGTGAACTAGGTATTATTCAAGATGGAGTTATACTAAACGAGCGAATGAACTAATAGCTTCCTTTCACTGCTTGGCTGAAGCATTTGTGAATAATTTTCTATGATGATCTAACAATGCTTACTAATATGGATTAATAAAATCATAAAAAAAACATCCCTTCGAATACGAACACGTTCACTTGATGTGGAGTTACTACCGCCAATGATTTATTAATATTTACTAATATTATTATTTATATATATTTTTATTTATTATTATTATTCAATTGAAAATTTTGTGAATATACACTTATGATCAAGACTTTTGAATAGTCCCAAACTTAGTCGAGAATTTTCGATAAAAATTAGAGTAAGTAAGTTTATCGTTATTTTAGTACTAACCTATACGATATTATGCTCTAGATTAATATTTTATATTCTTTGCTCTTTTTGTGTAACTCCATCTACAGATGAGAATAATAGTTAGATTCTCATAACCTGAAAACTGCTCATTCATATCAGATTGAATGACTGAAATAAGAGTTTAGCTGTCAGATGTAAAATACCGGATTATTGGCTTGGAAAATGCTCTAGCTAGTAAAACAAGAAGTCAATGATTCGTAGCTTATTTCCATTGTAATGGTGGTAATCAATCTCAAAAATAATCACTGTGACATTAAATGAAATTTTGATTAATGTGAGATAAATGTATATAAATAAAATCATTTGCCAGATATATATCAGAGCATCACTTTAGGACGGCTTCACGTACCTACTTAGTTAATTCTTTATTGTTGTATTTGTAACTAGTTTTTAACCGTGACTTTATTCGCGTGACCAAAATATGTTTATTCATCAGCATAAAAATTAACTTATATACTTCTCCATATCATACGAGTATAGTATGTGTATATCAAATTTCATAGCGATTGGTGAAGCTATTAAAGCGTCAAGTGATATCAAATAAATTCATTTTAAAATTTATAATATTAGTAAAAATTATCAAGAGAAGGTTTGTACGAAAGAAAAATTTTTAATAGTCGAACAGAAAAGTGATAAATTTGGACTAACAAACAGAAGATTTGGTCTCACTTTCTTCATTAATAAACCCATGCGTATCACCATCCATCAGCAGCGGTATATATGATTTTTTTTATAAAATTATAAAAAAAGTAAATACCTGCGCTATTGGCATACGCTGACTGATTATCATATTAGGCGAAATATTTAAATTACGTGTTGATACTCCAGAGAAGTAATAGATAACGACTAAGCAAGGGTTGAAGGTATCTCACTTTAGTACATATTCTAATGTGTAGACAAATCGGCCCAGCCTATAACATCCGGATATTTAAGAACATTATATTTCATATTGGTGTTACTTTTAATTTTCAGTTGAATTGCGTCAAGTTTCGTATCGATGTTATGTTTGCAATTTCAATGTAGATGACATGCAGTGTTCATTCTATTCCATGCTAGTATCGAGGAGATATTACAAGTACTAGACGAGACTTCGAGACACAATTGATATCTATTAATCGGCATTCATTTGCCTTCGGGTCAGTCTATATTAGTAGTATCTATTAATGATAGTGAGTTTAGCTTTTGCATAGTAAAATAATCTTTTATATACTTATAGAAAACAGAAACATCCTACTGTCCGCTCTGTTTAACAATTTAACTTTGTTATACGGGAAAGTGGTGTTCTGTTTTTTTTAATTAATTTTAAAAGGAAGAAGCCTTTCAATTTATGTAATATCTTCAGAACTGATTTCTATAAAATACTTTAATTAAATAAGAGTTTCAAGTTTCTTTTTCCATATTTTTCAATTTTGTTAAAATTCAATTGCTATTTAGTGAAACAACTTTTTAACTATTCATATTATTATATGACTACATTATTATGTATGAGATGATTGATAGTTTTCTAACAAGGATAGGGATTGACTGTTGACTGCTACTTTGAGCGCTAAATCAAATATAATTTTTAAGTATCCGTGTTTATCGTCTTCTGTCTTGACATTCTCCGAAAATAAGAAAATTATATCCCATTTTATATCGAATATGTTATTTATATCCAATATTTCATATTCGATCGATACAATAAACATTTTATTATTGTTAAATGTCAGAATTTCAATTATTATAGCAATTATACTATACCACCACATATTATTCCGAAGCATTATTTTAGGCAACTGTTATGTACTGATAACTGCTTGTTCTAAATAGGGTTGGAGACAAAACAACGTGTTACAAAGTTCAACTAGGGTCAAAAGACCCTTGTAGAAGCCTTCAGGCCGTAAAATTTCATTAGGTGTTCAACATTATATCCCTATAGAATAATATAATATTGTTAAATGTAACAAGAAAAAAAAATACAACAATATTTCGAGTTTTATCTCTTTTATTATTATATAGTTATTAGCATTTATTGTTGTTTTTAAGTGTTCAATATCAGTGATGATTGCATTATATAAATTAAATTTAACTGACTTATTATACCTGTGCCTATACATTATAATCTGTACATTTAATTCGGTAACAGACTGTACTTAATTACCAAGGACATAAATAAATTACAAATGATCATTCACGCGCTCAGATAAATGTTTCAATTAATAATAAAAATTATAGGAACATTTATGAATGCAAGCAAATCAATTGGGCTTTTAGAGGCTTTTCCAGATGGAACGGTTATGACAGATGAACCCGAAATTAATTATACCTCAATATTTAAAATGGTTTTTTATTGAATCCATATTTAAAAGAATGTGTATTTGAATGTATTCCATGTATACCTGAAATCTAATTTATTTGGACTTAACTATATAAATATTACTTAAAAAAAAAGAGCAAGGGAATAGTAAATACCTAACAAAAAGTGGTAAACCTATTGAATAGTGTCAATACACTGTAGGTATCCTTCAAGCAATTTCCGAGGACCACGGTATTGTTTCAACTTCACTTAAATTTCATTGTCATATCCCATCCTTTAAACTAAAATACAGCCTTTTAGCAGCAGCAGCAGCAGCAAGCAGAGCTATTTAGCAAAAGAAACACGCGTGGGATGGAAATTAATGCGGACGATTTTTACACAAAGTCTCTTATGGTATTCAATCGAAAATAAAACCCAATGTAAACTTTACTATTTTATTATAATATAATGTAGAGAAATACAGGTTATATATTTATACTAAGTGAAGTGACAACTATTACAACATAAGGTAATCAATCAGCGCTGGTATCCATTACGAGGGTGATACGTTGAGTTTATAATTTAGATATTTACCAGGCAGTCATGACACTCATCTGTACTCATATGATTTATTGTTTCCCGCTGTTAGAGCGGTTGGAGTGAGACAATATGCCCTTACATTTTATATTTATAGCACTTCCAATTAAATATACAGGTGATGTTCAATTCTATAGGAACACTTATGAATCTATCATGGAACTATTATAATTTAAAGTTTCAAACTCGAATTGCGTGAAACTCGAATCAACAGTAGACGAAGAGAGATCATATATTCGTTATAAAACCTGCCATAAAGTGCTCGGGTAATCTAATTTTTAGCCTTTTGATTTTTTTTTATTATTTTAACATTAAGAGCTGGTTTCCTCCTTCTTCTGGTTAATAAAATAAAAAATCATTCTTCGTAGAACACAAAATATCCTCAACAGATACAATCGAGTTAATACTCGTATTAAATCTAATAGACGTCAAATAGACGATACCGTAAATATATTCATATTTTAATTACAATTTTGTATAGTTGACTGTCTTTTAGATTGTATTTCGATTAGATTCCGATTAGATTGTATCAAAAGTCACCATGAAGGTCTTGTTCTTCTTACGAGTTAGAGATGCGTGATGAACGGACAGAGAAATATCGTGATGGCAATATTAGGCAAAGCACACAACCCTAAAAAAAGTCTCGTTTTTTATTCTGATCATACCTAGTTCAAGAAAATATTTCTTTATATCTAGGACCGTATACTTGATATTTTATTGGCAAATCAATTTGTTCGC